TTCAGCTGCTCTTATACATCATTAAAGTAAAATCTCAGGAAGATCAATAGTTTTGTAGTTCGAATTTTAGTGACGTCATGTGAAAACCAGCTATTACAAATCTTTGATATTAGTTATCGCTTAATAGGCCTAGCCTTAATAGGCTTAATAGGGGAAAACGGAATACCCAGAGAAAACCTTTCGGCGCAGAGCAGAGAAGCAACAACAAAACCAACCCACATATGATGCCGGGTCCGGGAATCGAACCTGGGACACATTGGTGGGAGGCCAGCGCTCTCAACACTGCGCTATCACTGCTCCCCTGAGTGATCTTGGATCCTTGTTCCTGGTACGGATCATGTCAAAGAAATGCACCCTATAGTGCCAAGAGTGCTAAAAGTAATCGATGTAATAAATAGTTTGTTATTATTGTCGTTTGTTAACATTACAGTCAACCAAGTGAAGCGTACCCCTCAAGATTACATTTATGAATTGATTATTTGAATATTGAACCCGCTAATCGTTTCAAGAATGCAATAATGAATTGATTAATAATAAAGTGTATTATCGTTTGTCTCACGATGTAGTCACTTGAGATGTAGATCGCGACGTTTCGACTGCTTACTGCTAGTCTTCTTCAGGCGATAAGGTCGACAAACGATAATACACTTTATTATTGCATCCACCACGATGAATAACAACAACCTTTTCCTCGACAATTAATTGATTATTTGAATATTGAACTCGCTAGTCATTTCAAAAATCAATAGTTAATTGATTTTTTAGAACATTAAAGCCATTAGCCGTATTCTTGGAACGACTAGTGGGTTCAATTTTCCAATAATCAATTTAATATTGCACTCTTCAAACGACTAGCGGGTTCAACGCTCAAATAATCAATTCAGTAATGTAATCTTGAGGGGTACGCTTCACTTGGTTTGACTGTAACTATCTACTGTCTCCTTACAATCTCAGGAGTACAAGCCACCGTGTTCAAAGGACATACCAATCGACTTCAGAGTGTCACTGCTGAAGAATGCCCCCAATCCACTCGGCATCCTCAGGTCCAAAGGTAACAATGCTGTGGGATTGGTTAAAGCGATGTACCGAATAACGGAAGCTGTGGTGGCGCAATGGTTTCCTGGTCGAGCAGTCTGGGCTCGAGCCCAGATGTTCGAGCCCAGATTGTTTTCACCGAAGATGAAATGTCATATATCTCAGCAACATCGCTACTGAAAATTGCACGCTAGTTATTTTGTCAGAGAGGTTTTGACCAGAATGGTTTTGATACTGCAAACTTGTTGATGTATAATAGCTTTCACGCGGACACTAAAGAGAGTGCTAAATGCTCAACCAGTACAAAAACCAAGGTTATCAGAAAAAATAGTTTCACGGCGTGACGTTAGACCATACTCAGGTGAATGCCTTATTACGTTTGCTGACGAGTTATTTTTTTTATTTCCCATCAGCCGTGGGAGAGCCTCCTTTATGTATGTCCTGCGCATGTCTGTTTGCCGTGAAGCATGCTGTGGAAGAAGCAAGGGCTGAGATCGGCAAAGGAGACGAGTATTTTGTCATGAGTGAGTAAAGCCCGGGACTATAATAATTGCTGTTGTTTATTTAGCACTATTATAATCGGTTGTTCGTAAGGTGGATATCGCTATCCACTGGATAAATCACTACCCAGTGAATAGCATGGTTTGTTTTGTCAACACTTATCCACTGGATGGCGATTTATCTGGTGGATAGCGTTATCCAGCCATCGAACAACCTGGGGCAGAAGTCTGTCAGATCAGTTCATGCGGCAACCTGAGCTCATCTGGGCTTGAACGGGATTCGAACCCAAGACATTGTGCAAGCCTGAATTTTTTTCCGGGCTTTAATTTCACAGCTGCTCAAAGGAGCTTCGTCATGAATTTTTTACGTTCGTCGTTTGCAACCCGTGTCAATCTTCTTCTTCCTTAACATCCGTGTTACTTTATGGTTTATTATTATCTATTTCGTGTTTTTTTCTATCTTGGTAAACTACTATTTTCAGGTTTCCTTTAATTCAGGGCAATTTTGTACGCGCCCAAAATAACTCAGAATACCGCGACTGAGCTCCTCTATGTTGTGTACATAACTACGATGATCATTCCTTTCTTTACAAAAATTATTTGAATTCTTTTTAATGATATATATGCAATTTAACTGGAACTTTTTGCACTCAATAGACGCGCACGAATTCCTTTGTTTTGGAGGTCCCACTGGGTAACTTGCGTCCCAGCATAACTAATTCCATACCATGTGACTGGTAGTGCAAAGGGCCTACTTCAACTTTGTGCACTGTTTGCGATTTATTGACCTGCTCTCAGCCAATCACCATGCTGTAAATTTTGCATTTATATTATTGCTAAAGAAATGCGGTCCCTTCTATTTCTGCTGCAATTGAAACTTTTTTAAAATCGTCCCTTGTGAGCTGTTATGTTATTTTTTAATTAAATCGCTTGCTTTTGCTATTTTTTCCAGATGCTCCTTCTATGGTTGAAGATGCACAGTTAGCATGTCTTGTAGATTCCAGTCAATTCACTTTGTGAGAAAAACATACCATGAGTAAAACATAAATACATTTAGAAAGGGAAGAAAACAAAAATACGGCAAATAACTATAATAAGCCTCCCTTGATAATAAGCCCCGACTGAATGTACTAGAAAAGAATACTATAGGAAGTTGATTTACCTTTATTGATATTTCTCCCTGAAGTTACTTACCAAGTAGAAGATGGTGTTCAGTTGTATGTTCTCTTAGAGACTCTTAGAAAATAATGCACGCTTAAGGTCTAGAAACGTCTGAAGGACGCAGGAGCGGGACGTGAGTGCGTTAAGCAGTTTTTGTAGACCTCAAAAGTGCATTATTTTCTGTAGAAAACGTAGGTACACCATTTGGCTAAGAATACAGCATGTAAAAGCGAAAATATACACAACTGAGAAGCGGCAGTGATGGCACTGGCAACACAACATCCGGGACATAAATGTTCTGTCATTTCCAGTCGTGTATCTATAAAAAAAAAAGGCACGCTCGGCTCCAACAGTGGGTATACAGCAACAATTTTCTAAAATGCATTATACGATATGTCGAATTATTTTCGCATTTTGATTGGTTCTTAGTTATGATCAATTGGAGGACAGACGCATAGATGACGTCATTAACTATTTATTGGTTTCTTTATTAGATAAAATAAATAGATTCCATGTTGCCGTGCGTCTGTGCAATAATTGATAACAGGAGAAGTTAAAATCTAGTTAAAAAAATCCGCGACACACTCGGCCATCGCCTCGTGTGCCACTTCTTTAGATTCCTACCCTATTTTGACGTCATCTATGATCAATAACTGACCTGATCGTACGGCAACATGGAATTTATTTGTTAAACAGAATGTTGATAATACACACTTCATTGACATCGTTTGAGTTGGTCTGATGTGATTTGTTGCATCTTTACAGTGTAGAATAAAATAGAGAAAAATGTATACAATTTTTAACCAAAATCTGAGGTAGTCTTCTGTTGTACTCATAACATAAATAAAATCTACATATATATCTTGCAAAACGTTATGATAACCAACCTTTTAGGCGATGGTAAGTATTGTGATTTATGTTGTAAATGGAAAAGCATTAATAAAGTTGAAATTGAACATGGGTCTAATTTCTGCATCATGTCGATTGTAATGAAAGTTGCAGAAGTCCCGCTGGTATTGTCTGTTTCGACATAGTTACATTCCAAGCAATGAAACTTGTTCAACTTTGTTTCATCAGTGTATGTAGAGTGAGGGTGATCTCCCATTTATTTCCCGTTATTCTACCTTAGGGAGTGCTAGATATTTCCGTCAGTTATTTCAAATGCCTCACTGACAAAAAGATTTGTATCGAGCCACATCAAGCAAATGTGGCATATACTCCTTCGATGTAAAGGTTATCTGGTGGTCGCGCTTTTTATTTTTTCGTTTGCATGTTTGGGGCCGATATACTTTGCCTAGTTTCTAGGTCTTTATGTTTAGTCGCGGTCACTCCGTCTCGTCAACAATCAAACAAATTGACTGGCAACGCCTACAGGAGAAAGCCATACGGTAACTAG